CCCTGTGGAAAGAAAGAGAGAGAGAGAGAGAGAGAGAAAAAAGGGGTTTTCCCCCTGTCCCTAGCCCGAAAGCGCTGTGTAGGGGGTCTACCCCGGTGAAAAAGCGAGAGAGCGAGAGAGCGCTCGATGTGGTGGGAAATCTCCTCCTTGAGTCCGGCGCATGTACAGCCAAGCCTTCTCGGGGCTAAGACCCAATTTTTGAAACCTCCTGGACGTTGCAGGTGCGCATTCGCGTGCAGAGTTCGGGGTTGCACCGCCTTGTGCCATGCCTGGTAGAGAGAAAGGTCGCTCCTTCCTTCTTGTCCCTTGCGAAAGACAGAGAGAGGCGCGCCCTGGCGAAAAAAGAGAGAGATGACCGACTGCAAAACAGACGAAACAAGGAGAGGGGGAGGGGACGATCCAAGCACGTGGATGGGCAGGCTCAAGGACCTCCGGGAAGCCCGCCGAGCGCAGGAGGCACAAGTGACCAAAACTCACTCGAGCAAGTTATGCTAGTTTTGGGGGTAGCAGGCAGCGGAACGGGCAAGCAGCCGGACTCTGCGAGGGACCCGACGGTTGCTGAATGATTGAGTCGAATGTCACGAATGTGACGATTTCGAGGCCAGGCTCGGTCCTGTCCCCCACGAAGCAGGGCCCAATCTGGCACAGATTGCACCAACTGCACGCAAGCCCGGATTCGACAACATCCGGTAAACGGCAGAGTGTTTCGGCCAACCGAGGCACAAGGAGCTGAACGACAAACGCACAGAGATGGTGGAGAGATCCTTGAAGCAGGCGATCTTGGAGATAAAAGATCACACGGAAGCCCGAAGTGCCAAATGCAGAGCTCAAGCTTCGTCGACGCCAAGCAAAAAGAGAAGCAAAGCTGACCTGCGAGGCCGAAGATCGCGAGAGGTCTCTTAGATCGGAGCACAAGCCAAGGCGGTGCCTAGCACCAGCGCCGAGTGGTTTGTGGTTTTTCTCTGTGTGAACCACCGACGTTGGCGGCCTGGTCTGTGCTGTCAGAGGCAAGCCGCTCCTGCAGAGGCAGAGAAGGGCACGCGGATGCGCGGATTTGAAGCGGGTCCAGGCGGTCCGGTCCTCCGCTTTGGAGGTGCAGCTCATCGCCTCCAAGCTCCACTCGCAACACCAAGAGCGGCAGGCACCCGCCACCCCCTCCCCAAAAAAGCCAGAAGCAAACGAAGCCGGACAGGATATGATCAGTCGGGCACCGCAAGTACTCGGAGTGGGGATTTTTCGGCCGTCAGGAGAAGCGCCAGGCGGCCTTGCAGGCGGGAAGGGGAAGCATTTCAACAGGGGTTCCCCGACCTCCCTGGTCAGTTTCCTCATCGTAGGAGAACGAGAAGCTTCTTGCCCGGATCTACAGCTTTGCACCGAGTCTTTCGCCAAAGACAAGGCCTGCATGCAATCCCAGTTGCGAGTGTGCCAGAAGAGCAGCGACGACGCAATAATCGAATTAGATCCGTCACTTTGGAAGCCCGGTGCATGGTGTGCAAATCAATACGTACGAGACAGGTGTCATCGAAATATACCACAAAGGCACATCACAGGATTTCGCACACATAACCGGAGATAAGGTGCGCGTATCCGGTCATCGCAATGCTTTCCGAGCTGCTTAAGGCAACTTGCCATTTCCAGTTGCTTGCTGTGTGTTGTGTTTCAGGGAGCTGGTGGAGTCTCAGGCTTGTGCCCCGGATTGACTGGATGGATCTGACTTCAGTCGTGTGATGTCTTGTCAGTTTGACCGTACCTAGGGCCGGAGTGAGCGCTTCTCAGTTCTGTACGAAGACCATCGGCGCAGGCAATGCTGACGTTTGTGCACCGACGTCTACTTTTGCATGCGGCAGCTGAATCTAGCGACATAAGACGTCATGATGCTCCATGTTGCAGGAGCATGATCTGAGCCCCTTCGCACTTCCTCCAAGCCCACCATTGTGCCCAAGAGCGTAGGCATGCCTCGGACACGCGGCACATGCACACTTTCGCGGCACCCACACATGCTTTCTCCACGGGGTCTTGTTCCCGCGAAAAGCCCTCAGCAAGCCCTGACCGCCGTGACCGGGAGGATGGCCTTAAGGGAGGAGATCATGAAGAAGAAGGACTTGGAAGAGCAGCGGCAAATTTCAGAGCGCGGAGCTCAACTGGATGCAAGGAAGCTCTTCTCTTGGTGCACAGAAGAGAGCACATACTCTGGATCCAAGGAACAGATTTCACAAGGTGGAGAGAAAAGTGGCCGGATCCTCAAGAAGTTTGGGAAGCTCATGGCTCCAGAGAGATTGCTGACTGCAGCTGTTCTTTCGGTTGCTCAAGCCAGACTCTACGATCATCTTTCATCCTTCCAGAAAGCAGCCGTCTGTTGGCATCGCTTTCCCCTCCGAACACGCGTTGATGTATCTTCTCTTCCGGCAGAACGATCCAATCTCATTCATGCTCATCCGGGCGACTATCAACAGCCTTGTCCTAGCATTGCGGGTCTGATAGCATTGAGCCTTGGGCGAACGGGATGGAACTCGGAAGTTGGTAGAAGTCTAGCTTTTGCGATTCTTCCTACCAGGTTTACCATGATGGAGCCTGTCGCCCTCGTCTTCAGGAAACATAAGCGTAGGAGAGTAGCGCCGAGGCATGTCGTGTGCAGAACCGTGTCGTCGTCGTGGCAGTGAGTGCTGGTGCTAGGAGGTAGAGATAGAGGCAGAGTGGCAGGGGAATCGGAAGTACCAGAAAAAGTGGGGTCGTTAAGCAAACCCTCCAGTTGGGATGGATCCTGTGAAGTAGTAGCAAGCAGGAAATTGTGGCATGGGGTGGGAGAAAATCCCCATGATACAATGTTCCTCTTCCCGACCCTGACTGGGGTAGCGGAATGAATCGCCTGGCTGCTTCGCCTGAGCCAAGCTGCAATCATTGGGCAGCGACGCAGGCGCTCGACGCCATTGAAAAGCTTCACACAGATGCGCAGCTGCGGGCACAGCGGATCAACGAGCAGCGTCGACTACCCAGCGGCAGGCATCAAGTTGGTTTCGACCGAGAACTTGCATCTTTGCATTTCTAGGTGAGCAGAAGCTGCAGCAAGAGTTGAAGGCCTGTCCTGTGATCTTGTGATCCGTTGTATGGGAACCCACCAAGGAGCTGGAGGCAATGTCGATACACAGACAGAAGTCCAAAGATGCCGGCGATGCTGCCGGTTTTGGCGACCGACTCTTCGAGGCCCTGAAGTTTTGAAGCCAGAAGCGAAGAAGCGAAGAGAGGAGCGTTTGGAGTTCTGACGTGGCCGCAGGAGTCGAAGCAGAGACAGGAAAGGAAGCAGACGCGAGCTCTCCAGGCTTTGGCCGCTTCCAGAAATATGTCCTTGCTGGTTCGTTCGCCTATCTCTCACCGGAGGCCCACAGCGAGGCTAAAGCAGCAGCGCAGCCAGGCCGGGGCCAGAGGCAAAGGAGGCAAAGCCTAAAAGCCCAAAGCTTCGTTTGTTGAGGTGTGGGTGCGCCCGGTACGCCCACATCTCCCCGTGGTGTTCTCCACCTCTACGAGGCCTGGAAGCTGCGCCACTTCCCACCCTTTCCCCAGCCGCCCGGCATTTCTGCGTCAAGGACGCAGCCAGAAGAGAAGAATCGCTGATGGAGAGGCGCCTCTCCGCGTGAAACGTTTTTTGGTTCCATGACCGTTACCTCTGTGCCGCTGGGCGAACGAGGCGACGAAAGCTTCGGGAGGCTGCGAGCCAGGAGAGCTGTGACAGTGGGGACCGTCAGATGAAAAATTGAGTTACTTCGCCTTTGTTCTGCCGTGGTCCAAGGAAGCAGCATTGGCTCTGCAGTGCATGTAGCTAATGTCCCAAGGTGGGGCATCCCCTGCGGGATGTCTGATCCAGTTTTGTTCGTAAGGCATGGAAGGCTCGCGGAGGCTTTGGGTGTATGCACTCTTCAACATTACTCGTACCGCTCGCTGCGAACCTCCACTGGTGGAGCCCGGTTTGGTGACCCCAACCCTCTGGGGGAAGCATCCCGACGAATTCATGGCTCGAGGAGTTCTGGTTTGCAACGCAACTGGCCACTGGACTGTGCACTCAGACATTTTTGACTTGGAGCAGAGAGCTGTGGAAACCGAAGAGTGGCAATCGCAGGTGATTACAGACAACTTTGCCAAACAGTTCGAACGGATGAAGCCGCCTGTTGGGTGCGCGAGCCACAACGCAAACCATAGGCTTAGGTTCGGAAGCCACGCGGCCTTGCACTGCCAGGCTGACTCTGTGGTGTCTGTGGCGTCTTACATCCGCAGCGGCCGCCTGATTCATCGCTTGTTTGATGTTCTTTACAACCTGCCGTCATCCCTTTTTCCGTTTGAGTGGAGCTTTCGTGGTATCAACATTGGAGCTGGCATCGATTCCTACCCAACATGCAGCTCGAGCGACCAGCTTTGCAACCAGGACGATCCCCTCGACCTGTGGATGGGGATGCTTGCACAGCAAGTTCTACTCGTAGACTCGGATATGAGCAGGCTGCAGCATGCGCTCACTAAGCTCCATGACAAGCGAACTCAAGCAGATTCGGTGCCGTCTCGGTTCTATGCTTTGAACAAAGCCACAACTCCGCTTGACATTGACGCAGGGGAGTTAGACGGTATCCTCATAGATGCATTCCGGGGCGTTGTGGACGTCATTAAGGCAAAGGTGGCGGTCAAACCTGACTTCCCCACACCTCACTGACCCTAGGCCCTAGTCTGCAGCTCTCCTGCAAGATAGACATCGACTCCTACGACTGTGACGTGCTGGTTGCGCTCCTCCTGAAAGTTGAGGCATTCGTGATCGTCCTCGAATCACAACCTCTGGTGCCTCCTCCGTTCAAGTTTGCCAGGGCATTTAGCTCTGACGACCCGTTGGAGCACGGACTAACAGGGTGCTCGCTGGCATACCAGCTGCGCATATTGTCGCCAAGCTACAATCTTCTTGTCTACACTGAGCAAGACACGGTCTTCGTTCACTCCAAGCTCTTGTCCCTTTTCGAGTCCCTTCCGGCCGGAACCCTGACAAGCAAGGTTGCCCAATCCGGCCTGACAATGTTGCGGTCTTTTGCACATTTTCGTTTAGCCAAGCACATCTTTTATCGCACACAGACACGCGCACTCAGTCTTTTTCCCATTTTGTGAGCCGGGCCTGTGGTCAGATGATGTCAGATGCTTTGGAAAAATCAAGTGTCACACAAGGAACGCTGTTTCCGTGGACGCGCTATCCACTGCTCTTCCCCGTGGATGAGCTGGACTGCTACAAGCGCTCGCGCTTCCTTCACGCTGCAGATGCGGCCGATCGAAGCCTGGGTGGGGATCACTCTCGAGGACGGGTATCGTGGGCTGCTAGCGTAAGGCCATGGGATGTTTCGACAAGGCGGACTACATAGTCAACGACTGGTTTTCAGACAGGCATGAATCATCATGAAAGACTTTACCGATTGCGAGGTTTGAGGTGAGGCGGCTAGATAATCCTACAGGTTGAACACATCCTCACAGAGAGGAAAAGAACCGACAAACAAAAGGAGACAAATCCTGAAGCGAGCGTTCGTCTTGAGCTCATGTTGCTGTGACTAGCGAGTGAAAGCCTCTCGACGAGGACTGGAGCGTGTGACGCCGCCCGCAATACCTGTGGATTTCGTTCGGGAATGGCTGCACAGCACAACACCAGTTATAACTTTGGACCTGCTTTGGCGCAACATCACTGGCACAGCATCTAGTACGTCCACTGCGCCCCTCGAAAACGTTCGCTACATCTTGGATCTATGACGAGGTGGTCGTAGACTTGACCACAGCGCCTGGCAGTGGCCGCACTTGTGTCGATGTGTGCTCTTGGCTGCAGCCCCCAAGCAGAGCTCCAGCGGCTGAGCAACGCCGGGGGGCGGGGACCAGGCACTTCCATCCACTTTCTCCTTACATGATCTGCATGCCACAACTTCGAATCTCCCGACCTCCAGGCAGGGTGAGTTGATGGTGAGTTCATGAGTTTGTACAGCGAAGCTTGCCGGCGAGATCGCGCACGCTGGCAAAATGTCTGAGCAGAAAGTAGGAATGCTTCAGAACCTGCAGCCATGAACCTCGCGCTCTGTATCAAGTGTCCGGGGACAGCAAGATTACGAAGGCCTAGTATTGTGCTCAATCGGGTAGATTGTCGAAATTTGTTGCTGCCTTCGAAGCAGAAGCCGCCTCTATTGTTTGTCAAGGAGCTGCAAGCTCAATCGGTCCGCGCACAAATCGCAGCCCGCAGCCAAAGGCAACTGGGGCAGAATGGATGAGCTGTGTTGCTTGTTTGTAGGCATGGATATGATCTGAGGATATTTGAGGGGCCTTCATCACAAGATCTAGAGAGCTCCCGCAAAATTTCACCCAGCAAACATGTCTGCCCTGCAGGTTGGGAAGGGAAGTCTCTGTCTCCTCGCATCGAAGTGGTTTCCTTAGTGACACTGGGCACACTTTGAGAGCCTGGAAGCGTCCCGGCCGCTTTGAGGCGACGCCTCGTCCCGGCGCGCCCGGTCCCAGGAGCTCCAGGCGAGCCAGGCACGTCGGATGGGTGGAAAACGATCGAGCCAGGGGGGTTCCGTTGCACGCAATCTTGGCGAAACTCACTTTTCCGTCTAGCGGCTTGTTCAATCGATGCCACATGCAAGCACATGTCGCGCAGCTTGCATTCGAACTGCGACTCTGTTTTGAGGTTAAAACGCAGACCCTCCCACCCGCCTCAAACGTCTGTGTGAAGATGCCAAGATTTCGAAACTAATTAAGGCGTTCGCTGGCGTGTGCCAGTTTTGTGCGAAATGTTGTCTGAATAGGCTTTTCTGTACCACAGATCGGCTCACGTAAACCTGATTGCAGATCAAACGAGTGCTTCTACAGAGCGCTTTCGATGACATTTGCGGGAGCAGAGCTGCTGAACTTCACGAAGGCATAGAAACGGGGTCTTTTGTCGAGGATTGTGCGTGTTCGTCTGTTGGCGGAGGACTCCATGGCACTCGGCTGCTTCAAGATCTTGTTCCGTGTACTTTTATGATGTGAGAACCCCTCAGTGACATTCTGTATGCAAAAACGAAGATGCCGCATGAGATCATGGCTCCTTTGATTTGTGTGTCTCAAGCGATGACATTCGCCTCGGGTGATGCTGTGGAAGACTGAAGATGAATGGCAGCTAGCTCCGGGAACATACAAGAAGCAGTTGAGTTTCTTCGGTATGTTTGCCACTTCATTTGGCCACTGTCGTTGGTTAACTCCACTTCAAGAAAGCCGCTGGGGATTCTCCCCTGCGTCCGCCTCTGCTGGAGATTAACCAAACAAGTCCTTGCCTCCACGAAACTTTGAGATGACTGAGCTCACTGTCGAAGGACCAGACCACCGAGTCGTCTACTACGCGGGCAGGCGAGCATAGAACGCGATGATGGAGCCATGCATCTGATGAGTCAACTCATCCACCTGAGCCTCATATTATAGGCTTACTAGAAACACGCCAGGAGGGATGCCTCTCGCTAGTCCCCAAGCTTGGTAGCATTTTCTGCGATGAACTATGTATGCGTTTCTGAGAGCAATCCAAGCCACAGACCGCTTCTGACAATGAGCATCGTGAAGTGTCCGAATGAATTTACCACATGTGTGGAAGTACTGCACAACAAACGGCGGAACTTAGAAATCTAAGTGGCAACGCATGACATTGCCACGGATCTGTCTGAAAAGATCTCGCGAGGAAACACGGCGGGAACGACTGATGCCGACTGATTCCGTATTGCAACAAGTCAAAACTATCCATGGCTGAATTCCAAAAATTCTTGCATCTTCTTCGGGCAGTCTGTACAAAGCGGTTGGGAGGCGGTGGCTCTCAACTGCGAAGCGCGCATTCTTCAAGATGCCCCCAGGCCCTGGCCTCCTCCCTCGCCAGCGTGTTTACCTTTGCCTTTACCCTTCCCTGTGATCTTGCCTTTCCCTGAAGACGTGGCAGTCTCCTGATGCCTACTTGATGCGCTGCGGGAACAGCGTTGATGAGTGCTTGGTGCTTCTTGAACGCTCACTCGAACTGGCCTTGCGCGAAGGTGGCGTTGAGGATCTGGGTCGACCTCGGGTTGATGCACTTGTCTTGGTGCGGTGTCGGCGACGCTATCTTGTCTTACTAGGGTTACTAGGGACTGCGTTGACCCACTTGATGGCGAAATGCGCTTCCAAATCCGCACTTCTTGATATAAGCTGCAAGTTCGCTGGATTTGCCGATAGTGACATGCTTAGCTTTGGCCCAGCTCGGTTTGTTGATTGTAGCTGCTTCTCTGCCAAGCTCGATCATCGTAATCAATCGCTGGGGATCCATCTCATGGAAAATTGTCTCTGCTTCTAGCAATGCGTATCAATGCGTGCTCCTTCTGTCTCGCTCGGCACCTCTTCACGCAGGACAAGCTTGGCACGCAGCTTTCAATTCGATTCCAGTTGGTCGAGGGCGTGGTCGGAAGCGGAGTGCTCTACTAGGAAACACCATGCTGAACTAGAGCTGCAATTGCTTCTGCAGCTTCGGGGGCTATGCGCGGATCGAACAACTTCAAAACTCCTTTTTGATGCTCAACAATGCTTGTTCCTGAAATTACTTCATAAGTTCGCTATTGTCTTCAATTTTGCAGTTTTTTGGCTTGAAGATTTGCATGAGTGAATAGCAAAGTGGCCGATGTCCTTCATGAAATCTTGCCTCCATTTGAGCACGACTGCCCGGCCTTGCTGTGTTGATCACAAGCTTCTTTTGCTCCCGAAGCAATGCAACTTGTTGTGCCATAAGTTCTCTAACATCTGGTGTGAGCGCGGTCTGCCAGCTGTTGTATAAGGAGACTCTTATCGAGAGCGTGCTACCGCTGCAGCAGATTGCAAACTTGGTCTGTCGTTGCGTCTAGCTTCAAGCGAAGCTGGTGCGTTTGAATCCATGGCAATTTTCCACGAGAACGAGACACGCACTTCTGGGGTATACAGCGATCAAGCCATGGGATCCAGGGGCTCATTTCACGCAGCTCTTTTCAGCACGCGATCTTTGCCGAAAATAGTTTCGCCGTCTGGCGGTTTGTTCAATCGGATTCGGTGCTGTACGGCCGCCATATGCAAGCACACGTCACGAAGCCTGCATTCGAACGAACTGCGATTTTGTTTCGAATCAACGGGGCCTCGTGCCGCGCAGGGCCGCCCGCACTTTGCCCAACCTCGCCATGAACATCGGAGCCATAGTGAGCCACGGCGCAGAGGCACCGGCCACTGCAGCCACCCTGTGGAAGCGTTTGGAATCTTCTGAAGCAGGCCGCGCAGACGACGTGCGAAGGACGGCGCCCCCCGAAGGCAGTTTGCGTTTCTTGGCTTGAACCTTCCCAGAGGCCATGGAGAGAGGCGACGCTCGTCCGCGCCGCTGGTGCCAACAGGGAGCGCTGACGAAGCGTGAGCGGGGCAAAGTTTAGTGTTGTAGCCGGCCAGCTCGCCTCGTTTGTGCGAGGAGAGGTCACCCTCACGATCCTCACATACTCTGCCCACGCCGCGCAGTCCGCGTGGCCGTGAGGCGAAAGAGGGCCCAGAAAGGAGAGCAGATCTGTACACCCGTTCACATGTCCTGGAAGGCGAAACTAGAGAGCAGCGCCAGGCTCGGTCCGGCGTCGTTTCTTGCCGGCGCACGGCTTCTGATGCCAGGACAGTGCGTGCGTCCAGAGAAGCATCGAGGGGGAGAAGGGTCGCTGAGGCAGCTAGGGAGAGTGTCTTCAGATGTGTTCAGATCTGTTCAGTTCCACTTCAGGGGGTGGGCGATGCCTCAACGAGGACCTCGAAGGGCGCTCGAGATACGGGGTAGTGACTGATTGCAGGTTGTGTTGCGAGGGACACACCTTGCAGGAAGCCGCTGTCAGTCAATGCCGCTCCCCCAGCCACCCAGCCAAAACAGGTTGTGCTCGCAGACAGATGTAAACCGTGGACGGCAAAGGGCTCTCCTGCAAGGCACGGGGCGATTCGCAAGTGCGGAGTACCTCGGCGAAGCCGTCGATTCCGCAGCAGAGGACCTTGAAGCAACACACGAGCTCCGAGCTCTAGACTCTGGTCCCTGTCAGCAGTCTTCGCAAAGTTTGCAGCATGCATCTCATTGTAGAGCAAGGTAGTCTTGCGAGTATCAGAGGCCATGTGCACAGCTATTTCTCGATGGCAGAGTCTGAAGAGGGAGGGTGTGATGGTAAACAGCCACGCGATGGCTGAAATGTACTGAATGCTTCGTGCTCGCGGTGCGTGATTGATGCATTAGGAACCGAATAACCTGAACGATGCGCCACTGCAGCTTGTTTTGGCTCACATCCGACTTGTCTGAATAAGATCCTGCTGTTGCCCTCCATGACTGAGGCACAGATGAAGGAGACGCGCGAGGTCCT